TGTAAAACAACTACTACTACTACTTCCAAAACTGAATGACTGCAGCAATGAGGATTACTCCACCTTCCAGTTCAAAATATTCTCAGCAGGATAACAGCATTTGAAAACTTGCACTTGTAGAAAGAATGATACTTTTAAAGCACTCACATTCTATTTATTTTCATTTCTTTGTCATCATTAGATCCAGTGTTTTGCATGCATGTAGGAATGAAAGGAAGAAGTTAAATGTCTAGCAATATGTAAACATACATTATCTTCCATAATGAAATGATACTTCACAGAAAAAATATCTGCAGTTACCAAAACTTCTTCTGTTTTGCTGGGTATTGGTTTGAGGATTTTTGTTTGTTTTGTTTCAGATTGTTGGTCAGTTTGTGGGTTTGTTTTTATATTTCACTGTAAATGTTGCAGAAATAAAATATTTCCGAAGTTTTACTGTTACAATTTTTTTTTTCATTGCATAACCTAATAATGTGTCACAGTTCAAGTAAACCTGTTAGTAAATAGAGAATATCAATAATTTCAAACATTGTATCAAAGTCATTATTAATAGTTAGTTCTTTAAACTCTGACCAAAAAGCAGAGTGACACCACTACACCATCCCTATTTTGTCTGTCAGTGTCAGTGAAGAACAGTGCCCACAGTGGACAACAATAGCATGAGATGCTTCAGCACTTACATCTGAATTCTTTGCCGTGATCTAATCATTGCCATGATGTGACATTTGCTGGCTTAAAATGAAGAAAATTTGCTTGGCAGCATGCAGGAGCTGAAAGGTCTAAATTACAAAGGCAACAAAATCTCACCAGAGGCTAGTTTCACTTGTTCAAGAGCCTAGAGAAACTCAGTTCTTCAGTTTTAGAAAACTACTGATTGGAACTGTCCACTCCCCTTGCTAGAGTTGACCACCTGAAAGCAAAACCTTTTTACAGATGCATATTTTAACAGATACTACCATAAAATAATTATGAAGGTAACTTTATGGCAGTAGAGGCTTCATACAACAGAAGAGCAAGGAGAAACTTCAGGAAAAAAGGGAGGTGTAAGAAGAGGTACCTCAATCAACCGGCCTGACAGACAGAATTCTCAAGTGCTGTTTTAACAGCAGACATTATTAAGATCTGCCAAAATTCAAGTTTGTATTTCCTTCCCCTAGTTCATTAAGAGTTGTAGTTTAATCAGGAAGGAGTACCCAAGGAAACAGTTGCTAAATTGCCAAATACCAGCTGCTTAACTGAATCCCAGAGAAAGTTAGTGGTTACTAGTTTCTCTTACAAGCACCTCAGCACCTGCTGCAACATTAACAAAAGATTCACATAATGCAGCTAGTAGAAGTTTCCCTTTCCAGTCTTGCCTATAGTCATTCTGCTAAACAGAAGACTGTCTCTCTGGAGTCAGAAATACAGAAAACACATACTTGAACAGTGCAAAAGTTAAGTTGCTTTTCCTTATCCAGTCCTGGTAATGGTACTCTACAGTTTCTGGAATAGTTTAGTTTTAATCCAAAAAAGAGTTGAAGACATGTTCTGCATGCTGTGCATCTTTGCACAAAACTCCTGAGAATCCCTTAAAACAAGACATTGATGTCAACTTTTATAGGTAATGGGAAATTGTTAGTGAAAATAAAGAAGTTGGAACAGAAACCGAATAATCAGATACCTCTTGCCAATTTCAAGTAAAAAAGACAGCATCAAGAGGTAAAATGAAGTAAAAACACCTATGTGGAAAACTAGCATGAAAGCAGATAAATAATGACTAAAATATGACTAAAATGGCTTTTATGCTGTGAGGAGTCATGACAGCCTTTCAGATAGACATAATAATATTCTGATATACTGATAAACTTTTCTAATCTGTGGTTTAAGGTAAGAAAGCAGCAAAATAGTAAGAAAGCACTGGCAAGCCACTGATGAGCTACAGCTTTTATAATTATCTTTTGCTCAGTCTGTATAAAAAGGTATCCATTATTAAAAACATCACTGAACTTACAGAATTGATAATTAGCATTCAAAAAGATAGCCATTACCACCCAAAACTGTTCAGCTGCACAGTGATACAAACTGTTCAAAAACTGTAGAAATAAACTATTCTCTGAAAAGTCTCAGCTTAAATACAGCCTGGCAGTCCATGCAAGAAATAAGTAAATAAATAAACACTATTTCTGCTACTTATCTTAATAATTGTATATTCCAGATACACTTTTAAACTACCCTCAGGAATTTTTTAAAGCCAAATCACTTTCATACACTCCTATTGCTTCCTAAACAAATTTCAAATGGATGGATGTATGACTTGCAGTAAAAAAATGAAAATCTTTCACTGCAAGTTATTAACTACTGCAGTCTGCTAGTAGTATCTGTAGGATGGAATTTAGTCCTTCTCTGCAATTCATGAAGACCTCCTTTTGGTGACTGAACTATGCCGTAAGAGACAACCAAAATAACTTACCAACTTTATCAAAAATACAGTAATTTTTTAATAGATGACACCCACACTGACATTTGCTTCCCTTCATTCTTCAGAACACAACATTCAGGCACCAGTAAAAGTTTGGCTGACACGGTCAGAAAGGACCATGTCTCCCAACGATTTCCACAAAGCAAATCCTGGGCATCTGGAAGACTTTCTGTTCTCAGGATTTACCATGTATAGGTCTCTTCATACTAGAAAGAAGTAATTTCAGAGGAAAAAGAAAAAAATTCATTCCCTTGGTTTTAGATTAAAGTTGGGAGAAGAGAGCTGAATTTGGGTTTTCTTTCATTTGAATGCTAAAACTGTCAAACTCTGCAGATGGCGATAATGGATGAGTAAGTCGAAAAGAAGGTTACTTATGGGAAGCCTTAAATGGCTAAGGAATCTGGGGGAGAAGCAAAAGCAGCTCATTTTTCCCTTGTCTTCACTTTTACAGTGAACATATCTTATGGTAACATCAGGCTTAATAATGGAAACTACAGAAGAGGACTCAGGAAACTTTTCTCATGCACTGACACCCTAGATTTCCCATACCAAAGAAAAAAAAAAAAAAAAAAAAGCCTATGACACTTTCCAAACTCCTCCAGAAATTCAATTCACTGGCAACTAATGCTTGTGACTAGAGAACAAATGCTCTGACAGAGCACTGGCTTTGGAAGTGTACATCGAGTTCCACTATGAAAGTAATTTGACCCATTTGGTGGAGTGATGGAGAGAGGAACTGAAGAATGGGGACAGGATGTACCTTCTCTTCCCTAAGGGAAACAACAAAAGAAGACTACAATCAATTTACATATTTGATCAATAATAGATTATATAAAGAATTAGTACTACAATTATTTTTCAATTCATAGCACTGATAAATTCAGTAAATTAGAAAAAAAGGCCAGGGTAAAATACATCTTTGTCCCACAAAAAAAGAAAAACCAAAACCACCAAAACCAATGGGAAACAAAACAAAGTATTATCCTCCCTGTATCTGCAAAACCTTGTCCAAATTTCAGCCATTTTTAGTCAGAAAATCATAATCACACAAGCCAAGAGCTATTATTGTCTGGACAAAATAACCTTACATAATTTGAATAACTGCTACAGATTAAACAGATTTAGATAAACAATTTCCAGTATCTAAGATTATCCTTAAAATGTTACATTAAAATTACTGCAACTAATACAGTACTTTTTATACCTATGAATTTCTAAGACAGTTATACCACATAGATCAGTGTACAGACCGCTTCTGGTGACTTTTATCAAAACTTGGAAGAATCTCACAAGCAAGAAAGTGAAAAGAAGAAAATTGCTCCACCTGGAGTCCTCTTTACCTGGTGTGGTGCCATTTACAATAAATCTGATACAAATCTAGGCTACTTTTCCTGCGGCCAATGGCCAAAAAATGGCAAATGAAGTATTTTACCAATATAAACACAAGTCTTCTGAAAATGGTTTCTGATTTCTACCTCATTCTAGTCAATCAAGAAAGAAAAGTACAAGACTGCAATATAAACTGACATGCAAATTAATTACTTACTCTGGTGCTACCAAGTCTAATAGTACTAGCAACAAGAATACATGTTATTAAAAAGCATTTCAATTAAACTCCTCCTATTCAACATTAGTTAGATTGAAACTTTTGGTAAAATATATTATTACTACAGTAATTTTAGTCATAGAAAAGGCCTATGTAACTTTTTCAATGGAAAATAGAAAAATATTGGCCATCTGCAATTTGTCTGAGAACAAGCATAAATCAGAGAAATTTATTTTACCAATTTTTTAACTAAATATCTGCGAAGTAATCATCATCTTATGGCAACCCAATAAAAAACATATGATCTTAAAGCACAAGTTGATTTAAGATGGAAATCTGCTTTGCAATTAGTTTAAGGCAAGTGCTACAGGAAAAAAATAGTTTAATTACTTATTTCATTCAACAAATTAAATAAATCCATGCAAATGTTTTTAAAAAAGGTAAATGTTTTTCTGTAAAACCACGGATTTCACAAAAGAGTGTAATTTTTTACTACACTTTCCACACCACAGAACTTTTGTAGTCTTTTGCACATGGCAAGAACAACTTGCACGTGCAGATACGAAATTTTAAGCGAGCATTTAACAAGTTATGCTTCCTTTTGCCTAAAAAATGGTTCAGTAAAGCTTAAAAAACAGACAGTAAACAAGCAACTAGTACAATGACAAAGCAAGAAAGATTAATAATTTGCTGCAGCCGGGGGGCTTTCCAAAGTACAGAGAGAAGCAATCAGGCAAACACTGTACACTGGTGTGGGGTCCAGACCTCAGAGGAAAGGAATAACTCAAAGATGGAAAGAAAACCATTTCAAGCATTAAGCAGACACGTTTGGATACAGTGCATTATGAAATACTATTAGAAGTATCTTTAACAGATACAGATTTAACAGAAATTATGTTCTAAAATGTAAATACTTGGATGTAGGAACAGGGGCATATATACTTTTAGCAGCATGCAGGATTAGGTACTTACACAGCACATAAAAAATTCCCTTACCTCTTCCTATTTTGAATCCTGAAATCAATATCTGAGTCCTTGTGTCCAGAACATAAATTATATATAAGGGAAAAAAAAGGTAAATTAAAGAAAATCCAGTTATTATCACAACAAAAAAGTATAAAATACAATCATGTGAAATGCAGGAGTTAGGATCCCAGACCATCTTGATGTTAGTGCCAAGGCAGGGCTTAAGCTTCTAAATGTCTCCATTTTCCAATGATTTTTGGGAAAAGTCACACTGAAGGAACAAAATACAGCACTAGGTTGAAAAAAAATCCAAAACATTCTCTTTCTCAAATCTGTTCTACTGATTGCCAGTGCTTAGTACAACAAATAATTTTTTATTGTGAAAATATTTTGTCCAATCAGTTAAAATAAATTTAGCAATGTTCTTTAACTAAGTAAGCAACTGACCCATGGCTTTTATTATGCCAATCTGTGTACTCAATAGTTCAAATACAACAATAAGTGTCACATACAATTATTCATAAATAAAGAATTTATAATTTAGCCAGCTGTACTGCATCTTTCATCTTCTTCTTTCAGGTGGCAAACCAGAAAAAATTGTACAGCACAACACATTACCTGAAAATTCATCAGACACTTCACTGACACATCCACATGAAAAATTACATTCTTGATTACAAAAACTGTATTGTTTGCATGCATATTGTAAAAGAATAACAAAGATGACCTATACTGGTATAATATCAAAATTTGTACCAAAATAGCATTATATATAATAATTGTGATTTACTGGATAGTAATCAACTAGAGTAGGTATTGTATGAAGTCTGGTTATCTAGAGAAAAAAAAAAAGAGTTCTTAAGTGAAAATCTTGACAAAACAGCCATTTGCAAGTTGGCAAATAACATCAAACTCATTCCATTAACCTAAAAAATTAACTTTTCCTCTCCTAATTACACAGGTACTGCACAGCATTTTCTCATTGACACCAAATATACACTGAATTCTTTCTGTCTTAAATCAAAGTGAACATGACACTATTCATAAAGCAACAGTTTCCAGCAATAAGGACAGTCTCATTATCAAACAAGAAGAATCCTTACTGCTGCCAGAATACAGACCTTTTTAATGTAGACTAAGTTATAAGTTACTGTCAGTTAAAAATTCAGAATACAAAATAGTTATCTCTTAAGATCAGAAATGTCTGCAGGGAGAGTAAGTCTTCTCCATGACACTTTGCAGAGATGAAAAACAGTGTCAGAACTAGTTTAAGTAAGTTCTTGCACTGGCAACAAAACTACAAAAAAGACTGATTATCACTCTTGCATATTCCTTTCTTGCAATCCCTGCACTATCATAATGCTACCACATATACCTTGATTTACTCCAGTTCTCACCCCCACCCCCTCAACAATTTCCCCCACTGGCTCCATCAACTTATAATTGGGATTTGAAAGAGGCAGTCATAACTGTGAGAACAGTCATTTTCTGGCACAAAGAACAAGTAACTTGAGCTCACCAGAGTTCGTCATTCCCCCTACCTTTAATGATCTGTACCACCCCCTACTTTTGAAAAATATGTGTTGTGTTTGTCAAACGAATAAAGAAACCCTTAAGTTCCTACATATAGTTTGAAGTTCCAAGTCCAAAGTATTAAAGAGAAAAAAGAAAAGGCAGAGTGGGGAAAGAAAATAATGGCATTGAAGAACTTCACTGCTGGTTTATTTGTTCCTACAATGCTGGCTCTTCGGTTTGATTGAAAAACTTCAGGTCTCCACAAACTTCAATCAAACCTTCAGTAGCACATAAGGTTTTCAGTCCAATTAGTTCCCACCACATTGAGTATTTCAATTTAATATTCTGTTGATTTAAGTATAGACGCACTTATTCAGTAAAATTAACTTGAGAAAAGCTAATTTTCAATCAGACAATGAGGCAGCATCACCTGCAGTGACTGAGGTAAGTGTGGGAGTGAGCAATAGATCAAGCTGTACAGGGAGATTCCCAAGCTCAGGGACTCCTGAGCAAGAGCTCAGAGCTGCATCCAGACCTGGAAGCTTTGGAGAGCCAACCAAGCTGGCAGATGGAGAGCAGCCCTAGGGAGAAGGACTTGGGGGTGCTGGTGGTGGCCACCAGGGTGAGGGAGGGGATTCTGCCCCTCTGCTCTGCTCTGGTGAGATCCCAGATGGGTCCAACCCTAACCCCGCATCCAGCTCTGGGGTCCCAGCACAGGAAGGACATGGACCTGTTGGAGCAAGTCCAGAGGAGGCCATCAAGATGATCAGAGGGCTAGAGCAGCTCCTACAAGGAAAGGCTGAACAAACTGGGGTTGTTCAATCTGGAAAAGAGAAAGCTTTAGGGTGACCTAACAGCAGCCTTCCAGTACTTGAAGGGAGCCTACAAGAAAAGAGAAGGATTTTTTACAAGAGCATGTACTGACAGGACAAGGTGTAATAGCTTCAAAGTGAAAGACAGGAGGTTTAGTTTAGATACTGCAAGGAAATTTTTTGCTGTAAGGGTGGTGAGGCACTGAAACAGGCTACCCAGAGAAGCTGTGGATGCTCCATCACTAGAGGTGTTCAAGGCCAATTTGGATGCTGCCCTGAGAACTGGGAGGAGAACTAGTGGGAGGTGTCCCTCTCCACAGTAGGGAAGCTGGAACAAAATTATGTTTAAGGTCCTTTCCAACCCAAACATCCTATGATTCTATGAATTTTGATAAAAGCAACAAGTTTTGTCTAGGCTCTTCAGAACAATTATAGAACAAACCACTATTTATAGTGTTTCTTCAGTTAGCAATGAAAATGTGTTACATATCACAATAGGTAAGATTGCTTTTAACTAAGAATAACCCACTTCTTTTTTTCTCTTCAACTGCATGTAAGATTTTCACATACTAGCTAAACTTGCAATACTAGCTTAATACAGCAAGCTTGTATTTTAGAAAGGGTGGTGTAAGTAATGCAAAACTACTTCAAGGCAGAGCTTCTAAGTAAGTTTTGTGAAAGCTAGAAGACATGGGCACCTTCTGCCTGCCTTCTAACCTACTGCAGTCAAATTGCCCTGAGTTTCTCCACATTTTCTTTAAATATAACAGCAAACCCAACTCAGCAAATCAGAGAAGTTTAATCACTAAACACCTTTAGTACCACTGACAAAAAGAGACCAGTTTAGATTAATAAACTCTCAGGAATGCTGACAGTCTTAAATCACTGCATCTCCAAATGTTACTATCAAAACAAACTTCCACTTAGTATCTACTGACTTATTACATACATATATCAAATGACAATATCTCCAAAGCAAAAAGTAGAGGAAAATATTTCTTTTATAAAATACAAGATGTCATTACACTTTCTTGTAATCCAGTATTGTAATTTACAACAGTAGTTGTAGAGAGGCTATCAACATGCATGCTTTTCAAAACATCATGTCCACATCCACTTTGTAGCTTAGAGCTTAGCAGCTCCACTTAAAAGAGTTTCAATGGAAATGCCTCAACTTTTCTCACAGTGTTACCCAAGGAGTTCAGGAATTTAATCCAGAATTATTTCAGTCCTGGGAGTTCAAGATAAAAAGGCCAAGCTACCTAGATTAAATGGCCATATGGGAAAAGAGAAACAAAAGCTATTAAAGTAAGTGTAGAATGGTTCTTGATGAGAAAACTTACCTGTATCTCAAATATAAAGCTTTGAGATGACCTCCTCTAAATCATGTAAGTAGACAGGAGATACCATAGCAATTAATTTCTGCCATTCTTGGCATTACTATTAGGCTAGGATAATTACGAACTCTAAGTCGACTTCATTAAAACATTTACAAGTGTTTAGTCTTGATTTTCTACGGTGACAGCAGAGTAACAAGACCAAAGCAGCCACATCAGCCCACAGAAAGAAATCCAACAGATTTTCCTCAAAAACTGGTTTATGAAATGTTTTATTTCCAAACTTTCTGTCACTGTGCACCTATGCATCTCTAGAAAGTCGCCTGACCTTCTCCTAATGCATCCTATGTGTTTCCACCGAGTATCTTGGGTTCTGCACAGCCTCTGTATTCCCTTAAACACATTATAAATTGTCACAAACTATGGCTTCAAAAGAAACATTAACATGACTGAAAGGATACAAAGTTTGGGTTTCTATCCACCTTGTTACCAAAGACTTTTAGGAATTTCAGAGCACCTTTATAAAACACATGATGAGTATCACAGTTGACATTCTAATCTGATCTGCCAGTAAAAGAATGACCACAAAAGTTCACAAGTATCCTATCCCAAAATAACTAATAATAATTTTTTAGCAGCACACTAGCTAGTATTAAAACAACTCTTAACAACATAGCTACCATATGCTTAATTGTTCATTCTGTATAAACAAAACCAATCTATAATGGAGGACACACACAGGGGATGCTCCTTAAACATGAAGGCTTATGTAAACTTTTTTTCTTTTTTTTTTTTTTTTNTAATTCAAAGCTTTTCATCCACTTACTTAATTCTTCTGTGATACTGTGGAAGAAAATAGCACAGTATTATTTTGAAAAAACACCAAATAAAATATTTTCAGAACATTCCAGAGGACATAGGGGTAATAAACCAGAATTTCTTGAACTGGTTTCCCAGAGGCATGCATTTCATACAGAAAGCAGGAAGAGCCTAAACTGATCTGACAAAAAGCCGGCATAGTTTAGTAACCATTAAAAAAAAAAAAAAAAAAAAAAATAAAAAAAAAAAAAAAAAAAAAAAAAAAAAAAAAAAAAGAGAGAGGGAGAGAAAAATTGCAAATATGTGAAGTAGCAAAAGAACATCCAAGCACTTGATTACCCTCAATAATCAATCCTTTAACTTTGGGACACAAAAAACTTTCCACACAGGACCCTGAAGTAACACCCAACACTTTCAGGCTAGAAGTGACCAACTTAAAAGGCCAAATGTGACACCACAAGTTACTAGAACTCAGTGGTTCAGAAAAGTTTCCAAATTTCTTAATACCGAATACATATACATGTATATACATAGATGTGAGGATATATATGTGTATTTTTCTCCAGACTGTAAAACAGACTAAAGACTTCAAACTGCAAAACAATTCCAGCCCCTGTGAGTACCAATTAATTTCCCATTTCTCACAACTTCATATCACAGATAGACAGCCACATACCTGCAGGGCTGAATTCGCACACCCCAAGGGACATGTCCCCTCTATCTCCACCTCACTGCAAACGCCATCTTTCACCCCTCCACTCAAAGAGACCCTTTTCTCCTCCAGCCGTGGGATCCTGCCCCCTGCCCAGGCCCCTGCACACAACCGCAGGGCAGAACGGGTGGGGCAGAGGGGTGCGAGGTTTCCCTCCCCCCAGAGCCGCCTTCCCCGCGGTGGGCAGCACAGGGACAGACCCTCCCCTCGCCCGCGGAGACTCCCTGACAGTTTTTGAGAAACCCTCAAAACCCCCACCCACCCCTCCTGCGGCCACCCCGGAACTTCCAGCGCGGCCCCCCCAGCCCCGAGAAGAGCCGCGCGGCCCTCCCGGCCCCGCTGGCCCCGCAGCCCACGCCGCTCGCACCCCGCGGGGACGGCGGCCCGGCCCGTCCCCCCGCCCCTCGGCGGGGCAAAGCCGCGACCCCCACGCCGCCCTCAGCCCCGCACTGACCTGCCGGGGGGCGCGGCCGCCGCTCGGGGCTACAGCGGGGGCTGCCCCCGCCGCCGCCGAC